TGAAAGCTTATGGTGCCGGTTTGCTCTCATCTGTTGCTGAACTGCAGGTACGTAAAATTAATTTTTCAGATTTATAGCTGACCACTGTTATTTTATTAAAGGACACATTGATGTCAGATGTATTTTGTGTTTTCGAAGGATTAACCAATCAGTAATATTCGGAACTACTTAAATTTTATGTTATGATGATACAGAAGTTGTTTATTGAAAACATTAGTCTGAGGATTACAATATAAAACGAGAGAGTAAAAAATACGAATGAACTCTGATTTAGTCGCATGAGTAAACTGTCTTCTTGAGTCTTGTCGATATAAAATAACCATGTCAAATATCTAACTAAAACAAAAATTATAACACCATGAGTGATAGACAGGTACACCTACACCTCTCTAGGAGGATGGAAATTTTAGCTTTTGTCTATCCCTCAGTTTTAAATAGTATTTTTGTTGAGAAATCGGATTAGGGTTTACAATCAGATACTCTCATGATCATGCAATTATTTGCTTTAGATGATTCTTACATATCTGACATTTTAAAATTTTATGAAACCCAATAAAGAACGTAGTACTACCTACACTTTTTCTATTCCTTTACAACAGCATGCTTTAAGTGACAAAGCTGTGATTAAACCATTCATACCAATGAAGGTTATTAACGAAGAATGCCTTGTTACAACTTTTCAAAACGGATATTTCGAAACTTCTTCGTTTGAAGATGCAACACGTCAAATGAGGCAAGTTTTTATTGATTAAATTCAACATTTTTGAATTAAATGGAGATTTACTCATTAGACTGAAATTTCAAAAATTGAACTAAATATGTACAAACATTTTTCAGTGCCGTCTTGATGAATAATTAAGCTTACAACTCAATGGTCTGCAGATATAATGCAATATTTCCTTTGGCATTAACTACTCACTAAAATCTAAATGTCACGTTTGGTTCAGTATCCACTGCATGGATAAAAACTAATCCACATATTTTAATAGCTACCGAGTGAAATTCACGAACTCTTTATCGTTCACTATTCCAATTACCTTTGTTTGACAAAGGTAGCCTGTAGTGAATAATGAAAGCTGTAACACAATTTTCAGTTGTAATTCCTATGTGTACGGAGATATTATCAAACGGAATGTACCTACTTACTTTTCTTCCAGTGCATCGAGTTTAAACCGATTGTATTCTACAGTACGATTCAGACACTGGTGGATTATGTAGAACCAAGATATTTAGCCTTATGTTGCTAAAACATCGTGAATCAGTGAACAAAATTACTGTAATTAACGATGAATTTCACTGTCTATCCGCTGTATATTTACTTGATCAATGGTTTTGGAAAGAGAAAAGATAGCGCTTATGAAATAGTTCTCACAAATCGAGCAGATGAAATTTCACAATTAAAATCTCAGACAAGTTCATGCTTTGGTATTCGCTGACACAAGTTAAAGCACAACTAATCTCTTCAACTCACCTTCGATCGTTTATTTTACTACAAAAGTAAAAAAGTATTTCTTTATAAGAGGGACAACAAGCTTCTGACTTTATTGAAAACTGAAATAAAATTAAGAAGCCATTTTGACTTTCTATTCACAATTTTTTGGATTCATAAAACTCGTTTCAAGAAACGTTTTCTGAAAAGATTTAAAGAAGCAACCAAACATGATACTTCCAACAAGTTAATACTAATGTTTATGAGGTTTATGAGAATCACTATTATTTAAACTCGAAATAATGAAAAAAGTATGTTCTGATCCTTATCATACACTTGTCACAACAACAAAAACATCAGAAGGCAGAATTCTACTTCCGTAAATTATTTGAAAAAAAAACAGAATTCCCTGAAGTTAAGACTAAAGCTTGACTCTAGATGTCTGACTTGCAGGTGACGATTCGTAGTCGGTGAGAGAGAAGAATCATAGACACCTTAGTTAATCTTTCGAAACAATCTGTATATATTTCAGGATTTAATAACCTTTGGACAGTTTCTGCCTGATGGAGTCTTCTGATAGCCTCATTTATCATAGCTGAAACTTACACACTTTTAAAGAATGTTTACATTTTAAGATCAGAATCGGTTTACATTACTATTTGTAACGAAGTTGTATTTTGACAATGATGAAAAAACTGTTTTAAACAAAGCAATTCAACTCTCCGTAGTAATAAACATGATTCTTATTCATTAACTTTTTCAGAGAATTTGTACGCACTATTAAGCGACCATTCGATGTTCATTATAACCCTTACACACAAAGCATTGAAATAATAAAAACTCCTAAATCAGTGGCGAAGCTTGTTCAAGATTTACAATTTGAACTCACTGCAATCAACGAAAGCCTTCTTAAAGTAACACTTCCTAATATATATTATTTGTTGAACATCCTTAAATTGTTTACCTTTTTCTGTGAAATTTTTTTTGAGTTAACGTAACGTGCCCGAGAAGTGCAAACAGTACCTAAATTAATGTTGTAAGTAGATACAACTTCTGTAAAATTTCATCTCTATGGATTAACACATATATTGATGATGTATAGGTTTCTACGAGCTGTGAACCATGAAGATTTATCAAACTTTATTCTGTGACAGAATTTATTGACTTCTGTGTTAAAATCGATAGAAAAATGTATGTTTATGACAATAAAATAATTCAAACTTAATATTTTCCAGTTATAGGAAGTTGAAAATTAGCCTGAGTCAAGCGGTTATTTGTTTTGTTTCCAGATTATCTATCCTCGAGTTTCAATAGTGAAATCAAAAACTTAAACCTTTCTAGATATTATACCAACCTTGAAGATCTTAGTTTAGTCTCAGTGGCTAGTGTCGATAATCTTGATTATTTACTTACACTATTATATAAGTTATCAATATTGCAACGGTCTGGAGTGATGATAAAAGAGAAAATATTTTCCACAATGCTATATGAGCATTTGTAATGCATAGTATATAATAAAAATTGGAAAGGAAGAGGAATCATTCAGCCTGAACTGAGGTAACTTTATAATGAATGGAGCTATGATTAGCAAAACAAAAGATGGACGTTTATAAACTTGTAGTTGACCATGTAATATATTCAACTGAACACACAGACGTTGCTCTAACTTGAGTGAAAAATATCCAAACATAGTTACTCTAAACGATAAATACACACTAACATTTTCATGATGTCATACTAGGTCAACTGTATACATTACGTTTTGTTCCTACTGTCAGTGTTACCAATCCGATGGGACGTAATATAAGCTTTGATGTTGATGCTCTACAACAGACAAAACGGTAGAACTTAATAAATACTAATAAATTTTAAGTTGTTAACGTTTTCAAATGACAATGAAATACGGATTATCTCATATTGAAAATCATACTATTGTCTATATCCTTACTGATGCAATGATTATTCACATATTCAGTCATATCATATTTGTTTCCCTGATAAAGTATTGCTATTAGTGAATTTAATTTTGTGACGAAATTTGATGTATTTGTGAATTCATTTATTTCCACTTTCATTTTGTAATCAGATAAATAGAGAAATTAAAAGTCAACAATTCACAACTAATAAAATCATAACCGAAGACCGATCAAGCTAGTATTGTTCTTGAAGGAACTTCATTTATTAACTTAGTTATCAAACGAAATTACGTTTTTGCTTTATCATCAACATATTTATTAGTCATTTTTACTTTTGTAAGTGCTTTATCACAATTTATCATATGTTCATTTATTGTTTCGCCTTGAATTCTCTTACTATTCTCTGTTCTTCATTCATATAATACGCAACGATTAATGTTTTCTGTACGCTTGTTAGTATCAATATTATATTTGATGAAGTTCAGTTTTTGTTCTGATATACGTAATCGAACTGATGATTGACATTTTACATAACCAACTGAAATCAACACGTATGCCATTGAATCCAAAGAGCACATGATAGGTGTCTCACATTTTTGAATAGATCATGATTTTATGCCGTAATCAACTTCAACATTCATGTCGTACTCAATATCATTCAGCGCTGGACAAATTATCAATATGAAGCCATTGAGCACAGTACTTTTTGAGGTACTAAGGATTGATTTTCAGAACAAAACAAAGTTCACTAGTGAAGGAACCTTAGTTCGTATATCACGTGACTAGATTAACCAAAATGACGTCCTTTATGTTTCTCTGGAATAAGTATACCCTCACATATGCTCACAGATTAATAATATCGATCTATCCGATGCGTCCACTGGGTCAATCACTGCTTGATTGCCCAAGTTAAAAACATCCATCTTCTATAATCAATTAGGTTGCTTCACAATCAATTATTCGCTCTGAAAAATTGTTAAACCAGGTTTCCGTTTAAAGCGTCTAGTTTCTTATACCAAAATAACATTGTTAATGTACTGGATATTTTGTAGATATTGAGTATCCTTCGTACGGTAGATGATCTTACCGAGTTTATCTGAAAATCTACTGGATCTGTTTATTTATGTGCTGGTTTCCTCAATGGTTTGAATGATGTTTTAGGGAACTATGCTCATTCACTGCAATTGCGGAAAGATTGATATTTTTGCATGATGGTGGGAAGTATTTTGTTAATAATGTCCTAGCGGATGATACCTCCAGACAGTTGATACAAGTCCCACAAAACTGTTGGTAATCAATATACTCACTCTTCTAAACGTCAATCGTGTTGAGATTGAAAAAACATCTCATAAGGTCATTAAAAACCGTAAATTTGTGTCGGTATGTGATTGATAAGTGAATTGTAAATGACAGATTTTTATGATGGTCTAATGGTTATCAGAAGTATACTTCGTAGGGATAGTTTATATATCTGACTAAGTGCTCACCTAATCTGTTAACTCACACAAATAATTCCCACAAATTACTGAACGGAAACCTACGTTTTTTAATTCTTATTGCGAGGTAATTATTGTGAATAGTTAGCTGATCTTGAACACAAACATACATTTAAGTTTCTTCCCATCGTCATGTTTACGCAATAAAATTTTCTAATCAAATGTGTTTGCATTCCATTTTATTAAAATGTGAATTCCAAACACTTAATATGCATCTCTATTGATAATAAATCACGTCAAGCAGAAAAAGTATTTTATAAATGGTTGAATATGACGTAAGCGGCGTTTGTATACTAATTAATAAAAACAGATACATATATGTTTGGGCGTTCAGTCTGACGATTTTAAATTACAATTAGAGACAGAGGTTTTATAGAATTTATTCGAATTATTTTTCTCTTCTGATGTAAATGATTGCGACATAGATGACATTGAGCCTTCTGGTTTCTGATCTGTGATTGGATGTAGTTTATTGAAATTTGACACAAAAATGCGTGCCAGTGATGAAGGTCCTTTAGTTGATTTTGATATTGCCACAGTTCCCGACAGGCTGGAATTGTTGTGTCTGTGATCAACCTTCTCAAACGAGTTTGTTTGGACATTAAACGACTAGAAAATTTGAATTGTCAAAAATACATGGAAAAATGTTTAAATAACAAATGATTACATGGTATTTTCATGAGATCACTGACAAAAAGTCATTAGAATTATGAATTGTTTTAAACTCTGTAAAAGTCGAATTCGCAGCTGTATACGCTTCGTTCATCTATAGTTCTTATTGTAAACCACCATTCACAGCAAAAATTCATTATACATAGATCTGAATCGAGAAAAACAAGCTAGGTTTAGTATTGAATATCAGTAGTTGGAAATAATAATATAGGTGAGGAAATTACATTAATTAGGTTTGATATGAATCAATCAATGGGAAGCTTAAGTAACTACAAAAAAGATCCGCATATTTTAAATTCATCCTGTAATTATGGCTTATTTACAAATGCCGTATGTTAACAAAAATTTGAACGCTATTTATAAGAATGTAAATCCTACTGGTTTCTTTGACTGATCATTATTTCGGTTTTTAGTATGCAGGATTCATGGGAACACAGTTTTGTAATACAACTTCGAATGCGTTAGTTAAGAATAGAAACGAAGATCAAAAACATGGTCTCCTAGGTGGTCATCCACATGTTTAACACTTATAGAAATGATGAGCGACAAATTTGGTAATAAACATTACTATTTTCTTAAACATATGATGAAGAGTCTACTTTCAACTATTACTGATGAATGCCATAATTTCTCAAATCCGATAATAAATTACTATCGTTATTCCCCTTGTCATGTTATCTCCAACGTCTATTTTGAACAGCTAGTATATAATCTATTAAAAAGGATGTTTGTGAGTGGTGAACCTTATGTACAATTGTTTCATTTTGAACTCGAATCAAATATTTTGTTTCAGAACAAACAAACACAAGAAGACAAGTTGAACGAAGAAACATTTCTTTACAATTAGTTCTCTATCAAGGCTCTACACTAATAGATATGTTTTTGTGAGTAGAAAGTCGGTACAAACTAAATGGTGTTGAGTCAGTTTAACAAAATGATAATCAGTTAGTTACATAACGTTTGGAAAATTAAAATTAAGACTAGAACTTAAGTGAATTTTCATAATCGGTTGATTATTACACCAAAAGACACAAAGATTCTCTGAATAAACTAAGGACTATTAAAAACCTACTGCTCACCAGACCTGATAAATGATCAGGAACAGTTCTGATAGATAAAGCGGTCCACATTGAAAAGATAAATACAATATTCAATGGTTGTAGCAAATTTCTGAAATTATCTTTTAAGAACGATCCCGCAGAAAAGACTGAACGACAGTTGACTCAATCATTAAATTGTTTGAAACAAACTGGTGTGATCGCCCAGAACTTAAACAAAGCACTTAAACCCACAGGTACGGTGACACCTACACTTCATGGCCTACCAGAAGTACATAAAACTGACTTACCACTTCGCCCAGAAATTCATGATATCACTTGATGCAATTTTCTGTATTCACAAACGTGCCTCTTATAAAAACAGTTGATTTCATATGTAGAGTTACAAAATCGAGAGGTGGGAATCGGCATCCCGATCTCTTCTTTTTGAACGAGTTAATACTCAGATGTACTATGAATATACATTTTTTGTTTAATAAAGAACCTCACAGACAATATGACGGTGTTGCTGTGGGATCATCATATACACAACTAGACAAATAAATCATCCTATTTCTGAACGTCACCCTTTGTGGTTGACCAAATGACAAAAGAAAGTAATACGGAGCTCTATCTTTGCGCATCCAGTCGATACTAGTCACAACATGGATAAAACTGCGTTTGAAGTTGTTCATGAAATTTCACCGACTTTACCCTATGGTTCTAGGATCCGACTCTTACATATAGCAGAAGCCGTTACATATTTCGAGAGATTTCTTCCTCTTTTCTTAAAAAACAAAACATATCTATTAGTGTAGAGCCTTGATAGAGAACTAATTGTAAAGAAATGTTTCTTCGTTCAACTTGTCTTCTTGTGTTTGTTTGTTCTGAAACAAAATATTTGATTCGAGTTCAAAATGAAACAATTGTACATAAGGTTCACCACTCACAAACATCCTTTTTAATAGATTATATACTAGCTGTTCAAAATAGACGTTGGAGATAACATGACAAGGGGAATAACGATAGTAATTTATTATCGGATTTGAGAAATTATGGCATTCATCAGTAATAGTTGAAAGTAGACTCTTCATTATACGCAAAGCGGCTGAGGGTAAAGCGAACTTATTGCTCTTTTTACTGATCACTTTAATTAATATGCGTCTTTTTGATGGTCGTCCTTATTAGTGTCCGCCCTTTTGAATCGATAGTCCCCAGTATATGGCCATACCAAGAATCTTTTATGAAAAAGGGGGACTTTGTGAAAACAATAAATAAGGAACAACAAACTATGACGGCTACTTTTTAGGACATTAAGACGTTTAATTCTTGATCTGTAATTAGTGAATTTCATATTTCTTTAATCACAAGCTTTCGTTTAATTTATGAACTATTATTATATTCTCTATTTCACATTTATTGAGATTTAAGCGAGATTGTATCCTATTTTTTGTGCGTTAAATTACCTACTTTGCGATAGATTGTATTTTCAGATTTATTGTGTGTTGTGATCCAGGTGTTTAATCGAAGATCGATTGATGAGAATATAAAAAACCATCAACTGATGTGGTTTGAGGAATAATTTGCTTAAGTTTAGTTACCGCCTACAAAGATATACGATGCTGGTTGGTGTAAGATTAGGTTGAAAAATAAGTAAGGATAAATAGGTTGAGATATAACACCAACTCAGTCAGTCAGTCAAGATCAATGTGGAGCCTGGTATAAATGTGAGGTAACCAAAAATTTCACATCACATCACAAAGACGAGATGAGATTAAAAAGATGAATAGCAGAGGAGTCGAAATAATCATAATAGCAATGACAGTGGAAAAGACTAAACACTGTTCGAAAATGTGGAATGAAAAGGTAGAAAGGAATATTAGAACTCCTGATTTAAAGGAAGAGAAAGAGTATGTATATCTGCTACACTATGACCGATTCTAAGCCACTTTACTCAACGTCTTCAACTACTGATTATGATAATATTGTGGATCCCAAACAGGTAGTCTGAATATGTCAACATGGTGAAGACTAGTGGTTAATAAATTCATGGGATAATGTCATTTGGTTTTATTTCCTCCATTTTTATTCAAACCTACTACTTCTGCCTCGCCAAACATCGCGTATTGAAGTAGGTAGTGATTAGGTGCACTCAACACATGTTAGTCACTTTAATAAACGAAAATTCACTATGGCATCAGATGATCCATGTTTACTGGTTTGGCCCCATCTGATACCTATAGATGTTAGGTTGAAATAGAGCGGTTGTATGGATTCTCCTTCTCTTTCTAAATCATCAGTTTAGCATTAATTATACCTCTTCGATCTCATTTCTTTTGTCTAGAAATTATCTCTCATGTTTAGGGTTCTATTTTAGCATAAATCAATTTCATCTACTTGTTATCTTGCTGATTTCCTTTCACTATGTGAAAATCTGGACCAATACACATTCATGACTGTTTCTTTGCTGATTAGCACTAGTCGATAACCAAACAAACCGCGAAAAATCACCATTAGGATTCTGACTAGCAAAAATAATCTCCGAGAATTCAATAATAAAATAAATGTACTTACTTGGTGAACAGATTTTTTAGCTGAAGAACTATTTTCCTCATATAACGAATGGACCACAGTTGGCGTCCCATTAAAACAACAGGCACTACCATTCGCTGTTTGAGGAATCGAATAATCTTTATCACACTGAAGTTTGCTTTTCGACATATTCATTTTCATGAATTCAGGTTGTAATTTCATGTCTTTCTTTTGACCATTTGAGACCGAAGGAGACAATGAAAACTGTTTTGATACTTCATCATGTTTTTCAATTATGGTACGGGTATTATCATTTTCTTTTGAATCGTCAACACTAATATGCAGCTCTCTTTCTAATTCAATGAATAAGCCCCCTTTATCAAAACCACGGTAGCTATCCAAACTCAATTTTTTATTTTGGAATTCCAGATCAATACTACAGGCTAACTTGATTTGATGTAATAGATCACGTGAATTCAGTTGTGAACATGCCAAAGAATGGTTTTTCTCATTAGATACTAATGGATTGATCTGCACAAACTGAATATCATTATATTGGTTACGTTCTGGTAAACTAGTAGGTTCTTTATATTTAGGACTGTCACTACACAACTGCAAGTAGAATGAAAGAATAAGGTTTTACATAGGTTTCCAGAGAATGCTATTATTACAATGAAATTATTTTATTTTCCTAGTGCTTGTCATCTCCACATAATTAACCTTGAATGGATTCATAAGGTGGATTGATAACTCATCAAAAGACAGATACTCAGATTTAAGTCGATAAATCACAACGTCTGGGACAGACCTCCTGCTTTACTAAGAAATCTCAGATTACAGTGAATATTAAATTTCTTTGTTTCAGTTCTAATCCGAGTCACTATTGTGAAAGGTAAACAAATGAAAATGTTTGAAGAAATATCGTTTGTTATATGTCGTTAGAAATGCAAATCTTACAATAAAAATCTGACTTTCAAAATACTATTTGGATACAACGCAGGTAAAGAGCTTCTGTCTGTAAAAATGATTATTAATCTTAATGTCCACTAACATAGTTTCGATCACAGATGTCTTAAACTAAATAGATGTCTAGATTAGATCGGTTCGTAACACCAAAGAACATTTATTAATCACCACCTGTACTGATAATATCATACATATGACTGACTTTGAAATGGATTTCCCAGTTTCAGCGGGACAACAATTGACCAGAAAAATTAGTTTTAAACCACCTTACACTATAAACTGACTGAAATAGAAAACTGTGGATTGTGTTACAACTCGGAAGCTGAATGATATTGGCCTTGCAGTTAGTCTTGTGCTCCATCTCTTATGGATTCTGGGATATGGACACCTGTGACGATCTAAACTAGAATAAAGCAGCTGTCCAATGATCTCTTTCAAAATAAATGATTCTCCAACCTTCATCAATTAGTGACGAAAACCATCTTCGAAATCAGACAGATGCTACCACAAAAACACTTAAGCAAATATGATAAAAAGCAGAAATAGATTCTTAAATCATATCCGCGCTACTGAGCAAATTCTTATAGACCATTTCAGGTGTTTACTCAACTGTTGGGTTTAACATAAGCGGAAACAACGTAAAATGATTGCATCGCAATGTTAACCATAAACGGAAATAGTGCTTTTATGAAGGTCAGGTTCACTGGGTCTTTTTTACTAGAAAAAACACGGAAAACAAAATTAAATTCAGCTGATGTATATTGACAATTGGGTAAGTATTAACCAATTAACCGGTTTATTACCTTCACAGAATATTTTTCATCTTTGAGGTGACAATATGGCAAAACTTTCAGTAATTATAAATTCTAAATCAACCTGGAAAAGCATATGGTTACACAAAGCGGGTAGGTTTCACAACTACATATTTGTAGCTTTTGTAGTACTCGATTTGCTTATTCACTTGCTTGACTGGACACCGGGAGATTTATTATGATTTCTCCGAATGATTGATGGTCTCGATCTCAATAGTAGAGTTTAAACCATTTCTCATAAAGAAGTGTTAGTGTTTACGAGGTAGTATCTGATCCTGATTGATATGTATCAAAAAATATAAAAGGTTACAACTGTTGCTTTCTAGAACCCATATCTATCCACATAACAAAATACGAATTTATCGTCTTTGAATTTACCACTAGCTTTAGTTCACTTTCACACATGGTTCTCTAAGATTCTTGATAAACAACTAAAAGATAAGTATATTGTGAAAGAAAATTTTTATATCATCAGATAAAATAGCCAAATCTTCCGGACTTGTCCTATTTACCAAAAATAGTGGATTTCCCGGAATTACTGATAAATTTTAGTGTGCTGAATAATAGTTAATACAAAAGATATATAGTTGTGCCCTGTGTTTAAATAATGCTCTCTAATTTAATTAGTTCAGCAGAAAAGATATCTTGCATACAAAAAATTTATGTAACACGGCCATTAGTCAAACAATGCTGTGTAATGAGAAAGTAAACTAGTAACTTCCAGAAGAATTATGCTCTAACAAGGTATTCATATAAATGCTAAATTTAAGATCAACAGATAAAGAAACCAAAAGAAACAGAGGCAGCTTTCAAACCAAATACGTAGACACGACAAAGTGGTAAATTTTCCTGTAAATTCATAATAAGGAGTAAAATAAACACACAAAGTCGATTTTTATTCATCAAAATGTAAAGAGCAGTTTCTAGAACGCTGAGCCAATGGATTTGCACAAATCTATTATGTAAAAATTACCACAGTAATCTTCACAGCTTTCTCTGGAACTTGGTATTCAATTAATACACTACACGGACTCGTCAGCAATCAGTTTTAAAAGAAATGAATTATTTCTAGGTTGACTAGAATTTCTGTGTTGGGAATGTATTAAGTTGTGAAAGTAACACAGGATTATTTTCACTCGAAATTTAGATTGACGTTTATTTCAGTAACTTGTTTGAATTAATATATGATAAGATTAGACGTCATAGCGACATTGCCAATTCCGACTAATTATGTTTAGTCTCTTGTTTCTATTTTGCTTATCCGGGAAGGTTTTGGTTCACATAAAATATCATCTACAGGTTCTGTATCTTCTCCACGTAACTTGACATTTTGGTGGATATGAATTATTTGTTAAAACTGCTTCTTATCCAGTCCAAAAATACCTGTTGAAGATAGTTGCATATTTGCTAGCTTTGGGCAATGTAAAGGTAATTACACATAAACTTCCATAGTTACTGGATACTATGAAGATTTTTGGTTTACAGAAAGAAAAACTGTACATCAGGAATCAGTCCTGACATTAAATATTCAATAATGATTCCCTACGTTTTCTTGTAGACTTTATTACAGATAATCAGTCATAAGTTGATGAAAGATTTTTGGACTGAAAGCGGCGTTTATACCATACAGGAGGATGATGGTTTGCTATCTCCTAGCATTAAATAATTTAACTTAATTTTCCTCTACAGTCATTCTGCTAAATATTCAGCCACATCAACATCCAAGTCACAAATACTCTTTCCTACTTATATATGTCTGTATACATGTTAATTGGTAAACACATTGGAATGTGACGCAAACTTTTACATGCTGATTAGGGTTTTGGTAAAGCATGCACGTCATTTTTTTATAATTGCGATAATACGTTGTACTGACAACCAATTCAAGTTTTCTGTTCAGCAAAACTATTTGGCTTATCCCTGAATGCTAAGGTGACGCAGATAGGCCCTTTATTTACTAAAACGATAGTAGGTTCTAACATACTATATTGTTTCTATTAATTTATAGATGTCAGTGAGAAACAACGTACAGCCTATTATGTATATCGGTTCAATTTACCAGATCCCATTAGCACCGAGGGATGAAATTGCCAGACCAAATCCTAGAATAGTAGAGGTAGTAACAGTATGAGCGATAATGGGAAAAAATTGGGCATCGACGATATGATTCAGGAAAATATAAATTAGTGAGATAAAAACTCAAGAAATGTTATAGAGGATTCAGAAGATCCGAAGGAAGGAGTACATCTGTGTTATTACAAAAGATTTTGAGCCATTTCATTTAGTCTCTAATCATTGTCTACGATAATCAAAACGGGCCCCAACAAAGTAGTCTGTACCTATCAACATGGTTTAGTTCAATTGTCAATCTTTTGACGGACTGATGCCACATCTTGGTTTACTTACTTACTCTTGGTACTCCTCGTGGAGGAGCATAGGCCGCCCACCAGCACTCTCCATCCAACGCTGTCCTGGGCAGTCACTTCCCTTCAGGATTTCAAGTTGGGGCTTGCCTCGTGATTCAGTTTGCATCTTGGTTTGGACGCTCCTAAAATTTTTCCAGACCACACGTAGAGCACAGAATACAGTATATCGAGGTAGGCAGCGGTTGGACATAAGTAACATACGTCCCAACCACCCCAGTTGATAGAGATTCACTATCTCACTTTTACTTATCACTCTATTCCTAACCCTGGCACTGCTTACTCCGTGATCTCATAATATACGAGCATTTGTGATCAAGTACTAGTAACATACGGATATCCTCTATTCTGACCATGACCATGTTTCACATCTATAAAGTAGAACAGAGTGAAATCCTGCTTAGTAAACTCGTCCTTTGGTTGGCGGATGGACATCGCTCCTCTAAGTGCCTTTCTGTTTGGTTTGGTCTACCTGTTAAGGATTAAAATTACCCACCACTATTAATGCATCTGAGCATTTAGCTTTTTAAAGGAAGCTGAACAGCTTCCCAACAGGGTGTATCAATATTTTTCGGAGATTTTACTGTCCTGATCCGCCTTTCAACTTAATTCTATGCATACACCAGCGAGGCCATGGAAAGTAGCAGTAGAGTCTCCGGATACACGAAGGGTTAATCGCGCCGTTTGTTCATTTTGGCAAGGTAGAGCCAAATGAACGACTGCGTTTGGATCCTGCATGAGCGCTTCGGAGATGTAACATATATCGCTGATGTGAGATTCTACAGTCCTAGCTAAGGAAGAGTGTTGTCTGATTTGACACAGGGTTCGAACAATTAAAACCCCAACTTCTAGTTCAGAGCATGGTTTCGGGAGACCAGGAATAATATTTCATAGACTCAAATCATAAGCATTAGTGGGGTGTTGTAATAAAGTTTTGAGGGAAGGGTTAGTCTTGAGGACAGAAGGATTGTCGGTAGACGATGAAAGGATTTGATTATAGACAAAATTATATTCGGTACTGTTAGAGGCGTTAGGGAAGTCCCCACTTTCCAGCTGCCCACACTGTGGAACGATATTTCTCGCTGAAGGACCTAATAAAGAAATTGGGTTAGTAGTGGAACTGCCTCAGGTCGGTCACTCAGTGCCTTTATATGGAAAGCATTTGATGCGTTAGCTTCACACTTCAAGAAGCTTTACTTACGGAGATGGTAATCTGTGTGGTAAGGTGCGGTGTGAAATTCTCATGGTCGACCTCTTATAACCACTTCCATCCGTTGTGAGAAGGCACCATCTCTGCAGATGCTAGTTGTTCGAGGGAAATACCTTACTGCTATCACAACCCCCTGCAGTCACCAGTACGACTTCACACTTCGGACCGTAAGTTGCAGCTTTAAGTTTTACCAGTCTCCAACCGACCTGCCTGGCATGTTAGGACCTAAAGAAACATATGTCTCAGACAATAAAGCTCAGTTGATTCATCATGATAGACAGGCCCGACCAACACGTCAAAGTAGCAGCTACGGTCAGGTTGGATCAATGTTTCGTATAGCAGCTTCACCACGTATCTAATGGCAGAGATAAGGCTAGTTCTATTGAATAGGCCTTTTATCAAACCTTGTTTATATTGTACTAAACAAGGGCTATGGTGATTAATATATTGTTCCATCCATAAAGGCTTTCAATAAATAGATCATTTGAACCATCTCATGAACTAACAAGTATATTTAAGAAAGAAAACTGGCTGTCACTCTCCTCTTTGCATGAAAGACTAATGTGACTTTTTACTGTTGAGTTTCCCTAATAAACAATTATCATTAATTTTTTCGCAAGCTACTACGACGTTATCGATATACCGCTCTTATTAAGGCTTACATCTTCGAGTACTTTTTCTGAGAAATCTTTAACATATGGCATAAAGAAATCACTAAGTAGTGGTCCGAAAGGTCGAGTTATAATAACATTACCAATCTGCCGATAGTATTCAACTTCAACTAATAAATCTTCTGGAATTGTTAGAGAATAAGGAATGGAAAATTATTCAATGAGATACTGGTCACATAGGATATTGATACTCTTTCTCAGTGGTACACTTTTAAAAACCCATTCAAATAGGAAGGATGCTTTGTCTTTTCCTTGATATTAATGTCACATAATTAATAGATCAACTGAAATAAATCCTTCAGAGAGTGCCTACATAAATGCTATTGAATAAGACTGAGAAGCTCCGTTAAGCATTTCATGATATTATGTATAGGTGACCAACATATTGATAAAATTGCATGTAAAGACATGTCAGTTTTGTGAATTTCAGGTAATCCATTTACTTGCTGTTAAAAACTGACTTGTTTATTCTTGCATCTGTTTTGTAGTCAGTCGCTTTGAGAATATTTTTAAGTCCTACCGCTGAATTAAATTTAAGAGTCGAGTGATAGATGGTTTATTTCTTTTAATACTGAATAATTAGACAATTTGAAAATTTAAGTCATAAAGGCAGTCAAAACTCGAGATTTAGCTTTCCATTCTACATATTATTTTCATTAATATCGTTTTAAATTCAGCTTGGATAATTCAATCGAGATATCCTTAATTATTCATGAAAAATATTTTAAGAAATTAGTTATAAATTGGGTAATCACTTGCAAATTATTTACAAATCGAAAGATCTTTGTTAATATTTACCATAACTCAGTTATATCTTTTACTTACCTAACTTTCTTCTAGTTTTCAAAATTGGTTGTGATTAGAAAACGTTACTAACTGACAGATCTTAAAATAGTAGATAGTCTTTACTCAGATGTATTGATGATTATCACTAATCATACTAGATTGACGGGGAACGCTTAATCGCTTACTAGTAGAGAGCTCGGACAGTTTGCTTGAACTAACGGCATCTTTTTGTCGAAAACCCTAAGTTTTTATTCTTGCCAGACCAGTTTACTAGAGAAATTCGGGTGATAACAATAAAATGATTTAGAAATTATGGAATGTAGAAAAAGTTTACTTGGACTGTAAACGGATTGCGAACCGTTCACCAACTTCGATTCATGTTCTTTAATGGTGTAAAACGTTAACATATCATATCATACAGGGAAGTTTGTGAGTACTTATATACAGACCTTGAACTATGACACTTAAACAGAATTCTATTGATCTGTCTCAAGCAGATATAATTCAAGAATGATGAATCAAGTTGAAAATTCTGCAAATTATTGGAACACTTTTTGCTTTGCTAACTTTAGTATTAAATAGATTTATTTTCAGAAAACAATATATGCACGTTTTTCAGAAATATAACTACTTTAACAAGGGTTTAAGTCTCGAGAAGCTTAAGTACAAGTAGCCATATTACAAGGGTAGAGCAATGGTTTGAGTATTCTTATGACTTAAGACTGATTTATATAGTTTACATTTTTCTACCGTGTATAGATCTTTGAAACTACTGTGTTACACTTAACGGATCAACCTTGGCAATATAAAACTAAATATATCAAAAGATTCAGTATATGATGAAGGGAACAAAGATTACTACCAAAGATTGATATAAATATACAGTAAAAAGGCATGCCTCAAGCTAAACAGCATTTTCTGTGTAGATTGAATCTCATGAACGTCTACTGTATTGTGTATTTTCCTAATACCGTAAGAAATCATTTTGTGTTGGTTAGTTACATTATGGATAGCTTGATGGGAAGGATTCTAAATAGCGAATATTTACGATGACGCAACTGCATATTGATGTAAAATAGTATTATAATGTATGAACTTTACCTTAAAATTTAATTTCGGAAATGAACTATATTTTGTACACTGTAAACAAATAATCAACTGAGTAGTAACGAATTTTAGGAGAAACTTACGTTATTTTCAAAGGTATTAGAAACCGTACATGTATTATCAGTTTTCATTGTTAATTGTTGGTTGATTATTTCATTTGAATTTTGACCTAAATCGTCTAGGCTATCTGCTGTGAACGTATTGTTGATGTGTTGGTTAGACAGTTTTCTCAAACGTTCTCTCTCCTCTCTAGCTAATCGAACTCTTTCTTTTCTAGCTGCGCGATCTTCTGTTTGTCGTCTTGTTTGTCTATCTACATCAGCACCAACCCGTGATTGAATATTTATCAAATCTGACTGAATATAAGCAAGAAGCCATTTCAAACCATCACGAATCGCTTTATCCAACTTTTGATTAGGCAGTAATAAAGCACAACAATGCTCCTGAAAGTAAAGACATTCAAGCTAATCAATCCAGTTCATCATATGAGAGTGAATATCAAAAAGCGGCACGTGTATGGAAAATTTTACACTCTGGTGTCCATACAGAGATCTGCCTGTCTGTACATTGAATATAAATTACGGTCCACTGTTGTTGATCATTAACAACTTAAGTTTTATACCTATAGAAAGATAAAGACAAATTAGTTTTCTGGGGTTTCATGTTTACATGTCTGACGAGGTCCGTCGAATAATGTCAACCTGTTGAATATCTAAAGAAACTTGATGAGGTTCGGAGATCGAAGGACTTTTCTATGTTTGTTTTACTGAGATTACGAACTGATCTAAGTTAGGCAGTCATTGAACACCTGGAAGTATTGGAAACCCTCTTCATTCTGTTACGAGACTCTCCAAAAGTGTGAGACCACAAGCCAGCGGCCAGGAATCAAACTCAGGAACCTAGTTTTAGCGCGTGAACGCTTAACATTATCAGCAGATTTATAAGAACTAATGGAACGAGCGTCATGGAAAAAGGGAGTTTATCATGTCACATTCAATATGAGCCATTAGGAGGCACTTCATTTCATTAGAGCCATATGTATGTATGTACATATATTTTGACTGACAACATTCTTTCTGGCCAAAGTTACCAAGTAGTTGTAACGGCGTAAGCATAAAGGAGGGGTGAACCTTTAGAATAGTTTTATCTGAAGTTAATGTTTATATATTTATTGCACAATTACGAAACACTTGAATTGTTGCGTCTTTATGTTTTTCTGCATATAGGCTTTCGTTAGCCCATGAATTCCTATTGGATGTTCAAACTTTCTTAAGTTACTGCTAATTCATCACCGATCTATTACCCATGTCTCGTGCACCTGTCGTGTAGTTAGGTCTGTATTGCAATTCCTTAATTACGTTGAATATGGTCACGTTTTTTTGGTGGTTGTATGAGTGAGTCATAAATTTGAACTATGTGTTTGGGAGTAATCTACATGCTCTGTTGTGTTCTGTCCTGGCTATTGGACAAGATAGTATGAAAGAACTGCGTGCTGAACTAATAGTCGTTAAGTATTGACCTCAGCTATCGCACTATCATCGTTTCATTGGTTAGAAGAAGGTCGTTGGTACTACGTAAGTAATCTAGGAGGAATAATCAATAGTCGGACTAAGTTATACAAATGCTTCCTTATAATGACGGGGCGACCACACGAGTGTCAACATAATATCAAGCCTGGTTTTTCCATGAAGTCAGAAGTAAATTAGAAATAAGATTTACATCTACATGAAATGATCAAATATAAACCAGTCGATTATAGCTTACCAAGCGACAAGGGCATTTATATTCATTGACAAGGTCATCCAGCTGGAGTGCTGCTATCAGCTCCGACTCATCTAACGCACCTTTAATATCTCGCTTGTTTGCTAGTCTAAAGTGATAAACACAACCCGTTACCTTGTGTAACCATCTCACAACTTACAAAAGAATCGGTTTACCGGATATACAAGGATGGGAAAGAACACTGACTAATACTTCGTGACATTCTTCTAATCTCTCTGGCGTACTTGAGTCAACCACGAATATAACACCATAGACTTCAGCAAAATATGTTTCCCAAATATCACGTATTGTACGACCACCACCCAAATCATAAAGGTTGATATTGAAGCTGTCGATAGCAAATTCAATACGATCAAAGCCAATAGTTGGAGCGACTAAGTCACTGGAGACTTAGGTATGAATGTAAATAAAATTTTTGGAAACGTGAACACAACATACCACCCTTTATGCTGAGAGATATTGTTGTCTTTCCAGAATTATCCAATCCCAGGATGACAAGAAATATTTCTCTATATTCAGAATTAAAAAAATCGAACTATTATCAAAGCTCTAACGGATTATAGTATGAAATATCTTGGTAAATGTGATGTTACTAGACATCACCTACCCTGATACTACTAGGTATGTATTAGTAGACAATGTACTAACTGGTAAACTACGAATAAAATATGTAGACATACATACTGACAAGAATGCATGAATCTGGAAGGGGTATTATATATATAAATAAATTATGCCTACAAAAATAAGCAGTGTTATTAACACTGTTAATAACGACAAATTTAGTGGTCAGACTTATGGTGACAAAAATAGATTGAAGAGTTGTGATAGGAGTTACTACAGCACTATCATTTATTGCTAGCTGAAAACTTTCTGAGGGCTACATGTGTTAAAAATAAACATAAAACCAAAGTTGAATACTTTATTTGGTTAAATTTATATAAGAAGCCTTATAATTCGATTGTCTCGATGTTATAAATTAGTCATAATCTAAAAAGTGTTTTAGGTCTTATGATTACAAACAGATTCTTCTCTACCTAGTTATTAATAATACATTCAGTGTTTATCCTTAGAATACACATTGAAGTTGTTGTTTAATAAATTGAATACAAGCAAGGTTTACTACCAACATGTAGTTGCAAATAAGAATGGTGTCTAGTATTTATACAAATATACTAGGCAAAAACAAATTATACTTGATGAGAATTATGTCGAAAAGAGAAATACTTGCATTTATCTACTAAGTTCGTCTGTTATACAGAGTATCCTAATGGTCAGAACATTTCCAGTATAAACTGTATCAGCGACTAAAACGCTGTAATACCGAAATTTTGAACAATAGGAATCTTCAAAAGAAACAAGACATACTTATTGTTCTATTCATCTCAATAATCCAGGTTTAAAATACTTTAACGCCATATATACGAATATTGGTCACAAAGGATTAACACTTTTCAATATTGCTCTGCAAACCACTATCAACAAAAAATATCTCCTTGTATTTACGCGATCACTAATCTTTGTTATTTTAATAACCTCTCGATAATTGAACAAGGTACATAACCTGTAATGTAACTCTAGGTTTTTAAGTTATACGGGAAAATAGCTTAAAAACGTTTTCTCAGATCATTTTGACCGATCTGACAGACATAATACCAGAGTAAGACCTTTATTAGGAACGTGTAAAAGAATAATCATTTATCCACAAAATCAAATAAACTAGTAAGTTTAGGGTCAAACGTTCACCAACCAATGTGTATCAGGGACCCTTAAAGTGAAATCAAGTAAAGAACAGTTGATAAAACGCCAATATCTGACAATAATCAATAGTTTTCTTTATAGCAGAAATGCTACATTTTTATTTGAAGCATACTAAATAACTAATTTCAACCAGTTCACATATTTTCATGTCTTGTGTTAATTTTAAGATCTGAGGAGCAATATGAAACGATGAGCAATTTATGAAGCATAGTAAGTATGGCCATCAAAAACGTATGCTTTTAAAAGTGCCATAGTACAAATCTGAAATACTTGATTACTATAATTTTTATCCCAAGATACTACTGTATGCGCATTTACAGGTCCCCACGAGCTCTTGAAGTTCAAAAAAAAACTGTAGGTCAGTTTGTGAAGGATGTCCTCAAATTTACGTCCCCAAAAACAATGACTACATGTCGTGAGTTCTGGACACACGCTCATCAGAGGCGTTTATGGGTAAGAATTAAATTGGATAGATGATTGATGAATAACATTTGACAAGTGACGGCATATCTGTTTGTGTTTTTCCTTTGACCTTTAAAGTGATAGAATACTTGTGTTATATCATGCTCATCAAATGGTGACTGGAATTTCGCACAATAGTAACACAGGTTTGTTGAGACTCCTTTCAATATACTAAGTTTATTAGCACTATATTTTCTACTAAATCGCTGTAAATAGACATAAAAGGTTTAAAATCTAGAAAATGAAGGCATTTCCACAAATAAATTTCTGAGATACTTACTTTATATTAGGAGACTTCTATACGGAGATTTTGAGGTATTATTAGTATGATTATAGGATTCAACACTAGGATTAAGCGAAGAATTATTACAGCTTCAAACACCAGTGAAAACACTTTATTTTTAAAAATGGTAGTATGAATAAAATATAGCAATTTAAAATTACATTAATTACGCTCAACAGTGACTGTTGTGAGAGGTATGATTTTTAGCAAAATGTAAACAGTCACATGGAATGTGTGGTAAACATTAATTCACTTTTAACAACGGATCGGCCTTTCAGAAATACAAATAGTTGTAATTTATTGAAGGCATAAAGTTTAAGGAATATCAGTCAACTTTATTCCTATCTCGAACACTAAAACTGATATTAAAACAAATACACATCTCAGTATATTAAAAAAATCACATACTTGTTACTATTTTGCTTACGCCTAACAAACGGAAAACACGGAGACATGTTAATACATCCCCCGACAAGGGAGACAAAAGCACTTTGGGCGATTCAAATTAGTTGCATTATTAATAATGTTGGAAGAAGCCGAGTAATATGGATGATAAACATTCGGTCAGGAACTAAAGAAGAACATACTGTGTCAAGAGTTGAAGGGCCTATACAAGGAAAAAAGAAGATAATGTATCCTCACATGATTATCTACCTAGTGTAATATGCGAAAAAAATCAGATGAATGAGATCGAGAATATGGCAAATCGGACGGTGAGATGCCTTCAAATCGTGTGTTTAATCAGGGCTGCAATTAAACGCAACTCAATTTCGTAAATGTGCCCTTCAGCTTAGCAACCAATCAGAATAAGGCGTGAATCATTACATCCGCCATCTGCCTATCTACTTCAAAGTAGTAGCACATTGTTATTTAGGGAAAATGTCAAGGTAACATACAATAAAACAAACTTCCACTTGAGTACAGTAACTCTACAGTAGTGTAAATTCAACAATGAAATATACAAATAATGTTTTTACTATGAAACCAATTTTCTGCTGATTGACACAAATTTCAAGTATAGTTGCTCGAATATACTGGTAATTTGACGCGGCAGAATTTTTTCGTTATAGTTCGGATACACTGAAGAAAAAATACTCAACAAATAACGATTTTTCAACTTTTTTAACTTAAAAATGAATAAGTTCGGATTCTTCACCTGCGTTTAAAATGTCAACGTGGAATTTTCATGTATCTAAATCTTTTATGCTAAGCGGTTTACTTACGATTCAAGCTTCATTGCCATCGTATGAGACAGACTTAGTGTGTCGTTTCAAACCCTTCCGTTTGTTTTAAAAATTCCTGAGTGGACATTCCGTCTGTTAGAACTAATACCGCAAAGTTTCTAATAACTGAATGTCTAATGTCAAATAAATTTTTTCGTCACTGGAAGTGAGGTGGTTACGAGCAAAGGCTAAGTGAAGACGATTAAATAGCGGCCGTAAACCACCAAAGGTGGTGAGACCTAGAAACTGTGTTCTCAGTTTTCAGGTTAGAATATTTGTTATGTCTACTTCATTTTTCAGAATGGTCATCGCATCGTCATCAGATTACGATTTTGTACGCCAAGCCCCACATCTCATATGGCCGCTAGCCAGCGTAGACTGATCACTTCCCGACATATCGATAGCATGTCAAATATATCTTCGAACCTCATCGCTTCTGACTTCTGATTTGACTGGGTTTGTGGAGATAGGTCTGTCAAACTTATTTTTGTAAATAATTTTTATTATTATTTGTATTCATTTTGTCAACCTTTCACTGTGTGTACATTTATTATTAAATCATTGTACCTGTTGTTTTAGTAAATGACCTTAATCACTTTTTCCGTTGTGATACTAACATAGCGTGACACTTTCTGTGATTGTCCCAAATACACTACTACACACATACCTCTCGTTCTAAATTCACTTGCATTTGTGTTAACTGAAGTCTAAAGCAAGTACCATTTATCTTTACAGACGATAATTGGAATATACCATATTTATTACTGAATCATATCATTGGGGAACCCATCACACTCGCAGGAATTATTAATCATCTATAATTGTGGATATTTAACACCAGATCAATTTGGAACACGCGCTCTCCTGGTAAAATAAGTAACGTTCCTTATTTCTATTGTGTTTATGACATTTAACTTATATATCTTTAAATATTGCTATTTGTTATAAATAACTATTATTACCTTTTGGATTAATATATTATCTGGTCCACCACAATTATTTGGTGAGCCTAGAATGTATTTTAGTTTTATTGTTTATATTTCTACTTGAAACACTAGTTTTTTTTATATCATGAACTCTCCAAATAAACTTATAGATATGGAATGTCCCCCAGTGAAACCCCTTGACTCATTACATACAGACAACAATATTTTAAGTTCAGTGAATGCCATTACTGAGTTAAGATTACCACATAATGTGAGACAAATCCTTAGCGTCTCAGGGCGAACTGTCGCTCTCGAGGATTTAGCCGACATGGCGGACAAGATGATGGAGATCTACCCCGACAAGCATTGTCTAAACGCGATACAAACTTCTGGTAATGGCGATACGAACACAACACTCAACATTCAGCAACAATTAACACAGTTAACAACTCAGTTAGCGTCATTACAGGCTACTATTGCGAGTATCCATTCTCGACCTGATAGATCTATTTCTAGAAAAAGAGCAGAGTCAAGACATCGTTCAAGGTCTCCCAAGAAGACAGTCGGTATTTGTTGGTATCACCAAAAATATGGCACCAAAGCACGGCGTTGCACAAGACCGTGCACATTTTCCGCAGCGGACTCAGAGAATCAGGGAAACGAACTGGCCAGACAGTAATGGCGGCGTCTGCTACTGGCCAACACACTAGCCGCCTCTTCTACATCAGGGATCATATTTCTGGCTCAGACTTTTAGTCGGTACTGGAGCAGAAATCAGCATAATCCCATTAGAGCTTTCACGACGGCGACACACTACACACAGCAAAGTGTCACTACAGGCGGCCAATCAAACGCTTATCAAAACCTACGGAGAACAATCTCTCATTCTAGATCTCGGTCTTCGGCGAAGATTCACTTGGGTCTTTATAGTCGCTCAAATCAAACGACCTATTCTTGGAGCTTACAAATTATTAGTAGATATGAATAACAAGAGGTTGATAGACCAATGCACACGTTTACAAGTGAATGGTACGCTTGCTACTGACTATGAGACTTACGGTGTGCATATAGTAAAACCGGAAAACAAACTTTTCACCAACATTCTGAAGGAATACGAATGTATCACAAAAGTAAATTATCAGACGGAACCCACAGCACACCACGTACAGCATCATATCATCACTACGGGACCACCCATTAGTGCTAAAGCAAGGAGACTTCCACCACACAAGTTACAGATTGCTAAAAGAGAATTTGAACATATGATGCAACTCGGAATAATTAGACAATCAAACAGTCCTTGGGCTTCGCCGCTGCACATGGTTCCAAAGAAGGACCAAGATTGGCGACCATGTGGAGACTACCGAAGATTAAATAATCAAACTATCCCGGATAGGTACCCCATACCGCATATACACGACTTCTCCTTAAATCTACATGGTAAACAATTTTTTTCGAAACTTGACTTAGTAAAAGCCTATCATCAAATTCCAATGGCGCCCGAAGACATTGAAAAAACAGCCGTAATCACTCCTTTTGGTCTGTTTGAATTTTTGAGGATGCCATTCGGGCTAAAAAACGCCGCACAAACGTTTCACAGGTTTATGGACGAAGTTACACGAGGATTAGACTTTGTATTCGCCTATATCGACGATGTTTTAATCGCTAGTTCATCACTCGAAGAGCATATCCAACACTTACAGATCCTCTTCGAACGTTTCAAAAAACACGGTGTTGTTATTAATCCTGCTAAATGTATATTCGGTGTTCCAGCCTTAGAGTTTTTAGGACACTACATCAACTCCCAAGGCATTAAACCTCTCCCAGAGAAAGTCGAAGGCATCATTAGCTACCCAGAACCAACCTCCGTAAAATCACTACGACGTTTCCTTGGGACATGCAACTTTTATCGACGATTCCTACCGCATTGCGCTGAAGTACTACAACCGTTAACTGATTTACTGAAAAGCGATAAAGCAGGCACCAAGAAAGAAAAGAACCAAATGTTCAAATCACCTCCTGATGCCAAAGCAGCATTTGAGAAAGCTAAATCTATGATAGCCAACGCCACGATGTTACAACATCTAAATACTGACCCCACAACCCATCTGATTCTGTGCACGGATGCTTCACAGAAAGCCGTCGGGGCAGTACTGCAACAGCGGGTAAACGACACAATTACCCCCATCGCTTTTTTCTCGAAGAGATTATCGTCAGCACAAGAACGTTATAGCACTTTTGGACGTGAACTTTTAGCTATGTATCTAGCCGTCAAACATTTCAACTTCTTGCTACAGGGTCGTGATTTCATCATTATGACAGATCACAAACCCCTTTGCCATTCCTTCAGCACATCGTATGACAAACATTCTCCACGAGAAGCAAGACAACTTGATTATATCTCTCAATTTACTACAGACATCCGCTTTATCAAAGGTAACATGAACATTGTCGCAGATGCACTATCTAGAAAGGACATCAATATGATGGTACACAACCACAACATCAGTCTAGAAACTTTAGCTAAACTCCAAGTAGATGATGCAGAATTGAAAGCCTGCCAAGAGAAGTCTAACTTGAATCTTAAACCAATACCCATGCCTTTCTCAGATACTTTCATCATGTGCGACACCTCAACAGGCAACAACCGCCCTTTCGTCCCATACACTTGCCGACGAGAAATATTCCGACACTTACACGGTCTTTCACATCCAGGAATCCGAGCCACAACTAAACTGATTACCGAACGTTTCGTGTGGCCAAAGATTAACTCAGATATAAAACGATGGACTCGAAGCTGCCTACAATGTCAACGCAGCAAAATTCAAAAACACAAAGTCAGTCCTGTTGGGAAGTTCCCTTTGCCGGAGAAGCGTTTCCAACACATCCATCTAGATATAGTCGGTCCCTTGCCGCCATCAAAATCATTCACACATATACTCACATCGGTGGACAGATTCACAAGATGAGCTATAGCATGTCCCATCGCCGACACTTCTGCAGAGACAGTAGCCGCTACATTCCTTGACCGATGGATATCAAACTATGGAGTACCATCTATCATCACTACAGATCGTGGTCCCCAGTTCCAGTCTATCTTATTTCAGGAATTCACAAGACTTCTGGGTGTGAACCACATTAAAACGACAGCTTATCATCCAGTGGCTAATGGTCTGGTCGAAAGATTTCACCGCCAATTGAAAAGCGCACTGATGGCACAAACTGATACAACAAAATGGAGTGACGCACTATCACTTGTACTCCTGGGAATTCGTTCAACCATCAAGGAGGATTTAGGATGCACTTCAGCTGAATTAGTTTACGGTACTACATTAACATTACCGGGTCAGTTGGTCGATCAAGAATCAATAATGTCAGATGATCCAAATGGTTTCGCAAGCCGACTATTACAAACGATGCAACGCATTAAAGCGATACCTCCGCGTGAACATAACAACCGCATACAACTTGATAAACATCTAGAGGCCTGTAAATTCGTTTTTGTTCGAGTCGACGCAGTGAGAAAACCATTGAAACAACCGTACGAAGGACCTTACAAAGTAATTAAACGAACAAACAAACATTTCATCATCAATAAAAATGGAAGGAATGAGACAATTTCCATAGACCGAATAAAACCGGCTTTCTACGAAATTCTTCAAGACGCGGAAGACAATACTACGAACGAATCACCACTCCCATCTATCGCTAAGAAACAAGAGGA